AAATAAAACAGAAAACAACTCTTCCCATGCCTTTACCAGTCTAAAAACATAGACTGATACATGAATTAGGAAAAGGAAAAAAACTCCACAGTGCAAGTACTCCCTCAAAAAGAACCATGCTACTATCATTCTCACTTTTATGTTTGCTTAAATGACACTCTACACAGCCAATTACACTTCACAAACACTGAAGAAGCACTAACTCTTGTTTCCCTTTCCAAAAGAAATCAAGCAAAGCAGAATAAAGAGCATTAACCTTGTCCAGCTTTAACTCCAAACTACTCTATAGACTGATTATGCCACAAACTCACCAGGTAATCCTCTCAATTAATGAGATAAAGGCACCTTTAAAAGGGCTTATTTACCCAATTAAACAGCACATCAGGATATACTATGAAATTGAATGAAGAGAACAAAATGACCTGAACAGAGATAGGGACTTTGGGGCGGGCGGGCAGGCAGTCACTTCAGCAGCTTCTGCTGGATCACACCACACGTGGCACTTTCGCTCACACACGTATCTCTCAACATCAAGCATTCATAATACAGCAGTGGCATACTTCAGCATCTTATATGAGTATGTAACATACATGCAATGTATACATTTATACCTGTATGAAATGCATATATATGTATAAAAACATGTGTATGTTTTTATTTTTATATATGTATAAAATCAGTCCCACACTATCAGTTGACTAATCTGCATCCTGCGGTTCCTATTACAAGTCTAAGTAATTATTTTGCTAGATTGTTGAGATCATTAGCTACTTGACATGTTAGATCTCAGCTCAATGCTAAGTCCTACAAGTTTTTTTTTAAAAAAAAAAAAAAGGCAAAAGCCTCCTTAATAGTTGACACTTTTCATAACAATCCACCTCTGTGCAAGAATCTTGGTTCTTCCTAAAGAAACAACGGCTTCATTCATACATGATTGCAGACAATCATGTATCAAAGTTTGAAACCACAAAATGGAAGAGTTAGAAACAGGAGTCCCAAACGCCTTTATAATGTCATTACTCTGTCAAATCCTGACTTTGTCAAGGCCTTTACATTGCATTTTTGCAGACTTAGTCTTACAGCTGAAATCAATACCTGAGAAGTGACTAAGTAAAACACATGAGAACCAGGAACAGTTATGCATCCAACAGTAAGGCTTGCTATCTACTGAATCTGAATTGCTCAAAAAGATACTATAAACCACATTTTAAGGTGACAGCTACTACAAGTTTAACATTTGATCAAATATTTTCAAGTTATGGAATCTTTACACAAAGAATCATGCTTACCCCTGAATGGAAAATTATGCTAGGTAAAGTTTTAGCATCAGTTATCAGATTATTGTCACTATTTTAGCCACTGTTCTGAAGCACACTGATCTCAGCCAGAAATCAGAACTCTGCAATAGTTTAAAAGTGACTGTATGGTATTTAAATACAGCCTTGTTACCACATGTACAATTACACTCCATAAAAACAGAGCTCAAAAAGCAACCTATTGCTCACCCACGATAATTAGCTTTAGGAGAACTAAATTAGCCCCAGTGGCTGGTATGGAGTCACGCGAGCCAGCCGCTACAACACATTGCTGTAGTTCCACAGGAACATAGTGCATGTCACGAGAAATAAACAATTTTCAATACCTGTCCTATTTAGTAATCCAGACAGCAAACTCCATCATACTGGTCACCACCATCCGCTCTAACAATCTCAGTGATATAAATCAAGGAGGTTAAAGCTTTTCTGCTCCCAAGAAAGTAAGTTTCATTATATGAAAAGCTCACCTCTCCTCACTTTAGAGGAAGAAGTATTAACGTGTATTGAGTTCATTTAAAAAAATGAGAAGGAATAAAACCATTAGCCATGAATACATCTATTCAATAGTGTAGGTATCACCTGATTTGTTAGACTTAGTATTAAAACTATTTTACATTACAGCTATTTCTAGACTGTTACCAATGTCACGATGTACAGAAAATGTCCAAGAGCAATTTATTTTACCCACCTAAGTGGAAGTCATTGTATCTGCCACAGTGTGATACTTCCCTTCTTTTAGATGACCCCCCAGTGTGGGGTTTAACCAGCTGTACTGTCCATTACATCACTGGCATGAAACACACAGACAAAAAACCCCACCAATGCACAGCCTTAGTTCTGGTGGTAGCTCATCAGAGCTGCGTCTGAAGCAAGAACCTACGTATCTCTGAAGAGAAGGGGATGCTCGGTTCTCTGCTTTGATCATAAAATAGAGAAACACAGGGGGTCGGGGGGCCGCTTGGATTGTTTTGAGGGGGGTGTTTGCTGGGGCTTTTTCTGTTTTATTTTAAACATCCGCACTTTCACCTTGGCCTTGGAACAATAGTATCAAGTTCAAGCTCAATGTCCTTTTCAAACACTGGCTCTCCTCCCCGTGCCAACCTTGCGTGGTATAAATAGCAGCAAGCGGAGGAGCGAGCATTAGAGATACTCTTAAAACAGAGCTCGTGCTCTTACCGCAGGACCAAAGCGGTCCGGGTGCATGAGAACAAGCTCTATCAGATTTTAAATATTTCAAACACCAAATCAGCATTCAACTAGCTAAAAAGCTATGCTAGCAGTATACACTTACCATACCTTTAAATACGTATTAAAAAAACCAACCAACCAACCAAACAAACAAAAAACGCAACACAGAACCAACCCAAATAGGAGGAAAAAAAAAAAAAAATCAACCACAGAAACACAAAACTAACAGAGAACTAACGCCCCCCCGAAGTTTCGACTCCTCAGCGCTGGGGAAAGGCCCCTCGCTGCAGCTGCACCTGCGGCCCCGCCGGGGCTGCGCCCCGCAGTCACTGCCCGCCGGCGCACACGGGAGCGCGGCGAGCGGTTAATCGCCGAAAAGAAGGAAATATAAATATATATATAAATAAATTAAAAAAAAAAAAAAAAAAAAAAAAGAGAGAGAGAGAAAGTAAGAGCAGCAGAGAGCAGCGGCCGTCCCCGGACCCCGCGGCAGTGACCCACTTCCCCGGCCACGCACCGCGGCTCCCGGGCAGCCCCGGCCCCGTTATCCGGCCGCCCCCCGCGCAGCGCCCCGGGATCCCCGCGCTGGGGTCCCGATTTGGGGCGGCGACAGCGGCGAACGCTCCTTTAGAAAGCGGCAGGCAGTACTTACGCCGGCGCTCCCACGCCGCCCCCTCGCTTTCGGCGGGGCTACGCCGGCGAAAACTGCCCCCGAACCGCCGCGCCGCGCTCGCCGCCGGCCCCGCGGCCCCCGCCGCCCCCGCGGAGGCCCCGGCGGCGCCGCCCCCGCGCTCCGCCCGCTCCTCCCCGGGGCCGGGGCGGCCGGGCTGCCCCCCCCGCCGCCTCAGCAGCGGCTCCGCGGCCGCGCCGGGCCGTCCCGAGCGAAGCGCCCGACACCCGCGTTCCGGCCGCACCTGCCCCGCAGCGGGCCCCGCGCTCCGCTCCGCTCCGCTCCCCTCACCTGGCGCCGGGCCGCGGGGCCGCGCTGCCCCTGGGCGGCGCTTTTGGCGGCGGGGGCGCGGGTGCTGCCGCCCGCCCCGGGGCGGGGGTGGAGTGGGGGGGGTGGGGGGGGCCCGGCCGCGCTGCGGCGGGCGGTGAGGGAGGGGCAGGTAGTCGAGCGTGGGGGGGGGGGGGGGGGAGGAACTGGGTCAGCGTCTAAAAATACGGTGCGGGAGGGGAGAGAAGGGTCCCGCCGCGGCGCCCCGGGAGGCCGCCGCCCCTCGCGGGGGTTGCTGGCGGCGCCGGCGCCTTCCCGGGCGGAGCGGGGCCCGTAGCCGGGCCCGGGCAGGTGGTCCCGGGCGGGCGGTGGCTTTGCCCCAGCCAGGCAAGGTGCGTTAGTTCACAAGCACGACCCGCGACGGCAAAACCTTCCCTTGTTTTATTATATATATATATATATATATATATTTTTTTTTTTTTTAAACGGCGTGTGGCTTCACGGGCGGCGGGGGGGGGTGAGGAGGGCTGAGATCTGCGGTTGCCGGAGGGCCGGGCCCGGGGTGATCCCCAGGCCCCGGGGGGCGGCAGGTCGGGACGGGCCGCGCTCCCCCACTCCCCCCCACGCCGCGGGGCTCCGCGGGAGGCGGCTGCCCGGCCCCGCCTGCCCACTGCTGCCGTCCCGAAGGAGGGAGCGTGGAACAGGCAGGCTGCTCCGGCGAGAGCTGTCACGGGTCCGAGGGGAGCGTGATGGTGCGCTGCAGCACCGAGGCAATGCCCGGGTTACAACAGCAAAAAATCCCAGGAGGCTGTGGCTTAATTTTCCTCCCGGCCTAAGATGCGCAATGCTGGACTCGTGCTAAATCTTTGTGTTTATGCAAAATGGTTTACAAATGCAAACCACGGACAAAGTGTTTGAGTTTAGTGGTGACTAGCCACAACTTCGACTCTGCCTTTTATCGCCCTGTCGGCTGTGTTACTTGCTGCCACTTCGGTGTGCTGGGCGTCCTGGATTTGAGCGGTAGTGGAGCCAGTGCTTTCCTCCAGGATCTGGCCCGTTGGGGGTTTCTGTGGGGACGGCAGATCTCACGGCAGTCTCCCTGACCCCGTGGCGTAGCTGCTGGGGACTCAGCACTAAAACACTGTCTTCAGCTGCTGGCGCTGCCCGGAACAGGGGGCGGAGAAGGAAAATCTTTTATTCCTCTTTCCCAAGCCCCCCCAAAGTAAGTTTTGCCGATGCAATGTCCAAGGAGAAGGTTTTGAATGCCAGCAAGGTTGGAGATACTCACCCAGTGTGTCTGGTGCACGAGGGCACAGCAGCCTCCAGGCTCCCGGTGTGCCAATGTAGGAGTCTGTATCCAGGACAGATTGGGTATCTCCATAGGAAATGCTTTCTTGACATCAAACTAATTCCCTGACCTTGCCCTCCGCCCTCCACTACTATATACAGTTGCTGGCTATTTATATATGTGATTAATATGATTCAGAATTAAACATGCCAGGAAGACACTGAATCTTTCAACCTAATAATTAAAAAAGGAATATAGCATGACTGCTTTGTTTCACCACCACATGAAAGAGAGCTATTTATTTTTATTGTGGTTAGCTTAGTAGTAACAAACAAAATATTTTATTCCCATCCATGAAAGCAATCTTGCCCATCTTTATGGGCCTCATGCAGAGTGTGCCGGAGTCAGTAGTATTATGCATGGGCTTTCAGTTAGCGCGTGACTGCAAATCTAGTGAGCCAGATTAGAGCAAGAGCGCTTTTGGGCTGCCAGACTGAGCATCGTACAAGACTGGGACACCCCAAGAGGAAATAATGCCGATCTGTAGTGAGGGTCTGTACAGTGCTCCAGACCTTGGGAGGCAAACCCTTTGGCAGCACAGCTGAAGCACCCTGGCATGCGCCCGCTGCTGTGGCTGGACGTGTGGAGCGAGGGACACCGTGAGACTTTTGTGGTGTCATTAGATTACTGCTCGTGTGGAACTGGGTGATAGATAGTTTACATAGCCAGCCTTTTAGCAAAGCTCACAGGCATGGCTCCAACTGTATGTACTGAGGCTAATCTCAGTTACAACTTAAAAATGCCTCTGTCTTTGTCACTGTGGGGATGATCTGGAAAGTATCGACCGATCGCTACAGCTGAAAGCTTGTCGTGTTGATCTTTACCCCACCAAAGATCACAGTTCATTCAGCATTCGCTGCAACCGTTCCACTCTGATGGCTCTTTCATTTTTCCTGGTTTTGTTGTTTGTCTAGGCCTTCCATGCAGCAGTAATCAAGGGAAGAAAAAAAATCTATTTAAAAACCAGAGATTTGGATTCTTTTAAAATAAGATAATAACGAGGGAATTCAGGAACAGATGCATTGGCACTCCTTTAATATCTTCCCACCTGGGAAGATGGCATTCAGGTTGATGGTGATAGTTGAAATCACTACAATTTTGTCAAAAGTCATCAAGGAGGATTTCAGAGTGGCCAAGGACTCAATGCAAGGAAATAGAAGGAATTAGAGGCCACTGATGTCTGTGTAATTTACATTTTTTGCTTCATTTGCTCTTGGGAGTCCTTTTCCTGGGATTCTAATCAAAAGCTGTTGGGAAACAGTTGTTCTGATCAAAACCAAAACCTTGCCACAGCCTTTTCTTCTCTTGCTAAGTAGCCATGAAATGACTTTTGCTTCTTTGACTTTTTTTTCTTCCTCAACTCTTCTGGTCCATGAATTTTGAGTTTCATAAATGTAGGAGGAAGACTGCAGTATTATGTCACTTAATGTTGGAAAAGGAGGGAAGGAAAAGAGAAAGAAGAGGGAAGAAAGGCAAAAAAACTTGCATGAGGAAGAGAAATGGAAGAGAAAGGATGTTGAGGGGGAAGGTAACCAAGACCACAAAGAGGAATAAAGCATGGGTAAGAATTGGAGAGACCAGAGCAAGGGGTGAATATCACAATAGGTGGGAAAGGGAAGAAATGGAGTAACAGGTGGCTTTTTATATTTCCTTATTTCTTGTCAAGAGGAATTAGTCAGGACTAGGCTCCACAAATGCCTCTGAAGGAGCTGAAAAGAGAAACTATGCTGAGATGGGTGTATGTCTGTCTTTAATAATAGATATGATTGCAGCAGGTGTAAATAATTTGAAATAGTACCAGGTAACTTGAGTATCAATAGCAGTAAAAATGCAGCAGCACAGGACTGCCAAGTCTGTGTCCTGTCAGTATCCAGGGTAATGGATGGTTTTGAATAGGTTATTAGGGAACTCAGCTTGTGTACTTTAATATTATATGGTAATCAGCTAGAATAGCAGTCTTGTAACAGGGATTGAAATTCAAATTTCCCGCTCCCAGCTAGATACCTTAATTGTTGCATTGCAAAGTGATGCCTTGCTTCCCTGGCCCAATGAATGTGGATTAGTTTGTTCAGAATAACAGCCTTTCAGCAGGCACAATGAAAGGCATTCCTCCCAGCTAGCCTCTGGCCTGGTGACTAAGGAAATTTCCTGAGAAGTGCCAGATAGGGATTCAGTCTTGTCCTCAGGACTCTCCAGGTCTAAGATCTACCTGTTTAGCTGCTGAGAGGACCTCTCCTTCCTCCAGTCATGACTGTGAAAGATGCCAAAGTCTAAGTGCAGACCCTGCTCCAGCATAACTCAAGAATTAAATGCTTTAGATGCCAAGAAGGTTGTAGTGCAGTGTCAGTAATTGGCAATTCGGGTGCTTCTCACACTGGGTGTTAAGAGATTCTAGTCCACTGTACCAATGCTTCTGGTGTGGTGGGGAGTGGGGGCACCTGGCCCAGAGCTGGGGGCTCCTGGCTAGGAAACTAGCACCAGAACTTGGGGGTTGCAGCCCATAACACTGCAACAGCTTGGCCTGTGGTAGATTTAGAGTCTGTGATAAGTCTTGTCTTGGCTGTATTTGGGAAAACACCATGTTGTGGATTTGTTCATGCTACGCAGCATCACGAGGCTGACTTCTGTCAGATACAGTTCCAGCAGGCTGAAGGTTAATGTACTCTGTTGTGATTTTTTTTTTTTTTTTTTTTTTTTTTTTGAGGTGGGGAGAGGGCCAGTGGAGACATGTAATGAATGTTGATAACTGCCTTTAATTTCTTTGGCAGGTGGTAAGTACTCTTCCTCTTTGTTTGCTTATGCAGACTACATTTAAAGTACTGCATAACATAGAGCAAACCTTTCTGGAGGCCAGTGCCAATTTTGGTACAAGAAAAGTATAGCACAACAGTTGAAAGTCTTAATTATCTTCTGAGGCTTAATTACTAATGAATATTCTTTAATTTTTGTTACCACACACTTCACATTCATATGACTTCTTTTCTGCCCAAGGCCTATTTTAATAAAATTGTATACTTCCTGCTTTGACAACATACTGATGATGTACGCTAAAGAAAATCATTAGTAGTCCTGCTGAAAATGTTGAAAATGTGTTTGGATGGTAATTTAGGCTCGATCTTGTAATTTTACTGGTGATTCTACCTGTAATGGCTACAAGTAAAATTATTCTAAGAATTCTTGGTATTTCTCCACAGTTCAGAAAAGAATCAGACTGTGGGTATCCCCACAGAAAGTATTGGTGAACAGATTACAGATCGCTGGGATAAATTAATCCCCTGAGTAATTTTCTTTTTCATATGCTTTTCACTAAAACAAGGTTCACTTCTCTACTTACAAGCAGCACTGGTGGAGAACTACAAAATACTCGTAACGCTTTAACCATTAGACTAATTGTAGTCCACTTGATTCCCTAATGTAATAAAACTCTTCCTTTCGTGGGCCGTTATCTGTTAGATAAACCCCAACATTGTATGTGCTATTAATTATTTATTCCTTCCATTATTCTTAAATGCACATTAAAGAATTGGCTCATGATTTCTAGTGCAATTCATAAGAATAAGTCTGTTCAATAATTTTTGGAAGCATTTTCTTTTGGCAAATAAATAAGGAAAACAATAGGTTTCATCTTCTGTGGAGTTAAGATATCAACTTAACCATTTTATTCCCATTAATATTTTGAGAAATCTAGACAGGTATTTTTTCCTTCGTGATATTAGCGATTGAGAATTTGTATATTCTTCTTCTAGACTATTTTAATTACTTTTCTATTTTTTTCAGTTAGAAATAAAAATGACTAATTTTTCTCTATTACTTCTTTAGTGTCATTTCAGTAAGCTTACCTAGCCATATGCAAAATGACAACTTTGCTGTTCTGTACCCACAATTGTTACTCCTTGGTGTTTTCCACATGATGCTGTTTCCTAAGCAAACATACTTTCACATAAGCGGCTGTATGCAAAAATACCAAATTTGGCTATTTGTCTATTCTGAGAGGATAATAAAGAAGATTGTATGGTGAACATGACAGCCTAACAGAGTTATCTTTAAAACACTATTTTCAATCCACGTGAGTACAACTGAGAATTTAATTGCTTTTTTCTAGGCAATGGGGTAAGCGATATTACAGCAAGGGAAATGGCTAAACCTTGAAAAAGTTTACTGGCCAGGAGGGTGGCTGCTAGGAAAGGTTAAATCACAGATCATGTGCAGAAGAGGTTCGTATACTGCCACAATGTGAAGACTTCCAGTCAAACCTGCCCACTCCCTAAGAGGATGGTGGTATTCTTTGTAGATGTCAAGAGATGACTGAACAGAAAGAAAATCCTGGTTTTCAGTCATGCTGAACTGGAGCTGATGTCTAAATAACCACAAGAGCACGAACTTGACAAATGACTTGATCAGAGGAAAGAGAGAGACCTGTGAAGAAAGCGCCTGGACATGCTAGCTGGATCTCTTTGCAGGTGATTTCTGTGATTAAGGAATAAATAAATCATATTGCTATTGCAGCATCTCCCCAGTGTGAGGCCTGGATGTGAGATAAAGTTAGCAGGGTTTAGCAAGTATCATTTGCACCGTGGTAAATGTGGACATGGGGCTGAATAGGCTCTTAGCCAGCAGCAAATACATGGTGATATGACTTGTTCTGACAGGAGAGAAGGCTAAGCTAACTTCCATGGAGTTTGCCTATAGCAAATGCAAAGTAATACGTGCTGACAATTTCTGCAGAGCAACTGATGCATAGTAAGTTGTTAATAGGTGCTAACTCGATGGGGCTTCTGAGCACATAATGTAATGTAGTGTCCCACATTGCTCTTTGCTTAGACCCTGTTCTATCAGTAATGGGATTTTTCTGGTCTTTCAACAAGCTTCTGTGGGTTTCAGATCTCTAAGTATGTGAATGTGTATTGCATTAGACACACAGCACCTTAACATTGCAAGTTATGCCAGTGTTCATACTGGCTGGAACAGTCCCATTTAGAAGTAGGCACGGTGTATGTAATGGGACAGAAACAACGGAGAAATGGGTGTAATTGTGCTAAGGGTAGTGAGTACCAAACAGAAACTTGCACCAACAAAACAGAGAGGGAAAGCTCAAAACTGGTTCTGTGTGTCAACAAAATGTCCCCATCTGAGCCTTACTGAGACAGGATGGAACGCAACAATGCTGTGAGGAAGCTGTGTTGCAGCAGCAGCCTGTGACAGGATTTAGCACTGATTGCTCAAAGGGAACTGCTAAAGTTGAAAAGCCAGGTAACTAGAAAATGAAAACTTTTCCTCTTCTCTGTCCCCATCCTCTCCAACATGGACAGATGAATTCCAACATTAAGGAAGGGACAGCACATGCTTTTGATTTGGTGATTAAAACTGAATGCTGTACTGTATGCATGAAAGGTTACTGAATGGACAGTAAGAGTCTGGGGAAAACAAAGAAAGAAAACACAAACCAAGCCTTTTCTGCATGTCATTTTTAAGAAATGGTATCCATCCAATGGGAGCAAGAAAATTAATGTAAATTTAAGAATTTTTTCCTCCTGAGTGGTAAAACAAGCCATAGGCAAGAAGATGAGAAAACACATATGAAATTTAGAGTGAAAATAATCTAAGGGGGGGAAAAAACTGCATGTTTTCTTATTTGTACTTAATGTGTTTTAGTCCATGTTTTCCATTGTGGCATAGGTCACTTACAGGTCTTGGACTCATGTCTGAAGCAATACTTATTTTCCTTAGAACAGTTCTGATGTATTCTTTTTGCTCCCCCAACATTTGTTCTAACTGACCAAAGAACCCTTGCTAGGGAAAAAACCCATAACTTATGTGAAACAGCTTGGAAGACTGTTGTTCTTGGCATAGTTTTAATGATTGGACAGACCTTATATAAGAAAATTTAGTACTGTCTAGGGTTCAAGCCACTTGACTTTACAAATTTGAGAAGATTGCTGTTGTATCAGATGCATTTGAAATAAGAACAACATTTTTTTGTTGGAAAATGCCAAGTAAATGAGAAGGGCCACGTGTGTCTACAGCACTCTTCACCTCCAATGCATTAGGATTTGTCCATGAAATTATGAACTTTTGATGTTTCATACTGAAAAGGTATTGTAAATGAAGTTATTAATAAACCAGATACATTTTGAATTATTATTTAGATGTGTTATTTTGGCTATTGTGCAGTCTAAAGATTAATTTGAAGTATAATGAACTGTAACAAAAAAGAAAAAGCCAAACATACAAGGTTACAAAATCATTAACACTAACATTGTCTGGGCAATCTATTTTGTTCTTTGTTTTCACGTCAGTTCCTTTTTCTGATAGGTCAGTAGTCCTGGATAGTAGGAGGAAAAGTTAAACTGAAGTAGGAATGAACATGTTAGTTTCTTCATTGCTAGCTACTTGCTTTCTCTTAGCTGAACGTAAGGCTAACATGTAGATAAGCCACCAAGATGCAACATTGGAATCTTTTGAAGGCTGAAGTCAGTTTATGTGCACATGGGATTATAAAAACATGTATGTTTTCTATTGTGATGAGCTTCTGAGTCAGAGCTGGAATGTGCAGCGGAAGAGTAGTCATCCCTGCTGTCCCACATGGCGTCCTCCTTAACCACAATCTCTTGCTCAGCCTCCTGTTAGTGGGCATTTGTTAGTTTTTATGATTTTCCACAGTCTGAAATGCAAACTGTATTAACAAATAGCATTTTCTAAGCCCCTGAGTATTACTGGAATTCTCAAAGGAATCCTTGTATGCCTGACTTTTTTCCTCTACTTTGCATGTATCACAGAAAACTGACTGAAATATCATACAATGCACACTGACTTGTACTTCTGGATTTCATTTGCCATTTACGATGAGCAGCTTGCAATGTGTTTAAGATGGCTATAACAGGCAGTGCTTTTATTAAGAGTTACTGATCCTGCCTCTCTCTGTGAATATTAATGTAATGGATGGTGGTGCCAACTAGAGCTGATTACTTCCTGCTCTTCAGCACTGCTGTCTCTGTGGAAGTTGAAGCTGCATGCTTCCTTAATTAATCATGCCAGTCTAGAAACTGAAGACAGTAAAGGCTAAGTATAGTGGAGCCTTCTGCTATAGTCAGCATTTCTTTCCTTTAAATATACAGCTTGGATGTAAGTTAGCAAAGGTAATCTTTCAGGGAGAACTATACCCTGAAATACTTGTGCAGTACACCTAGTACACCTCTCCCAGAGACTGAATTCATCTGCACTGTGGAAAATGCTTCTGAAATGGAGCCTTTCTGCTACCTTAAACCAGTATGCAGACAGTGCACAGAAGCCTTAACATCTCTTCCTATGTTGTATATAGTTTAGGAACTGCTGCCAGTAAGGTTTTATCCAAGTGAAAAACCTGAAGATTCCTGATTATAGACAGGGATCAGACAGAAGTAGTAGCCTAGGCTAGTAATAGAATTAAATGTAGTCCTTGAATTACATGTTTCCCGAGGAAGATTCAAAGTGCTCTGTAAAATGGTTAAATCATATTTCTCTCATACATAAGGAGAGTATCAAAAACATTAATTCTCACTCTTACATCTATGAATTCTAGGTTCCACTTCTTAAACTGAAAATGCATACATTTGGGTTTTATTCGTCTTTATATTAAGAAAATTAGATCCATGAGTGAGAAGGGTTCCAGATTTTTCCTGCCTTTCAAAATCTGTATGTCCCAGAGAAGGGATTTTAATTTTAGTCACTACTTCTCTTCCCACTATGATTGGATACCTTGATGGTAAAATAGGCAGTTAAATAAACAGTACTGCAGTACATTTTTCTTTCAGAGAATAATATAGGCTTTGCTTAAAATATTTATTTTTATCATATAATCAAAGAAACGCATTTGTAGCTGAAGATTTATGTCACAACACTTCCAAGAAGCAGTCTGATGAAACTTCTTTGTTTTTAATGTGTAAGCATAAATACACCCCAATGAAGGCTTTCTCTGGTATCACATCAGAGTTGCTTGCATTTAAATGAGTGGATCAGCAAGAAAGGACAGTGGAACCTTTTATTAGCAGCTGACTTCTATTGAGTCTCATTTTACATTTTTGGTTCCAGCACTATTTAACTGAAAGGAGATACTGTAGGTAAAAAAAAAAAAAAAGGAAAAAAAAAAAAAAAAAAGGTGAGTAACAGGGACAAGGCAGCTGCCAGACAGCAGCTTCCACTGTGTTCTTCAAAAATATCTATTTCCTCACTGATATTTTAAATAACCATAATGCAGCATGTTTCCTTGTGAAACAGGTAATCTTTTGTATTCTCTGGGAAGAGGTTCTCATGAGCAAAGTCTATGATACAGAGTTCAGTATTTTTTTAAGCTGTTTTAGATGAAAAGGCTGACCATCAAGTAAAAAACCAAAGGTCAGTATCCATAAAAATTATATTTCACCTGCTGAAATCACTATGATAGTGCTGTTCTCTAAGGAAGTCCATGTTTCCCCTACAGACACTTTGCGATGTGCCAGAAGACTTCAAAAGTGAATTTGATAATACCATGATTATTTCTGTCAAGAACAATTCCTATGTTGAACAGCCTAATGCTCATTCCTCATCTGTAGTGATGGTATTCTTTGAAAAGCTCCAGGATGTCTTAATTTCCTTTGAATCTTGGTTTTGAGGGTTAATTAGTTTACAAATGACAGAGACATTGTGAGACCTATGTAGAGAACGTATAGCCTGTTACCATATGCAACATCAAGGAAGTCTGAGATGTCACAGGCAATCTCTTCTTTCCTTTCTAGCTCAAGCTCTTTTCAGCTCTAGCTGGACATAAGCACAGATATTTTTGTTGTTCTGGTAACACAGGAGAAGGTTGTTGATCATTAGTATATGATGAATTATAGAGCACATACAGACTTACAGCGCTACAATCCCTATAGAATGCTATATAATGAATATGGCTGATACCTATTTAACGATAAAGTAGTAGAAAGAGAAAGGCTTTGTTGCTAAAACTGTGCTTTCTTTGGGATACAGTGTAAATGTTCTGCTTTAGGAGCAGATGATAGGCCCAATTCATCCCCAGTGTAACTTTACTGGACTGAATTGATTTGCATGAGATCAGTTTTGTTAATTCTTTTGGGGAGAGAAAAAAAAAAAAAAAAGAAGTGGAGAATAACATAGCTGGGAAGGTGTCCAGTTAGTATCATGTATATGAAACTTTTATGCCACATTTAGAGGCTCAAGTGCTTTACTTTAATGTTGAGAAGTTAAAGAGAAATATAAAGTAGAATTTAAAGCTATTGTCATGGATTGCAAATATTAATGACTTTTTTTTTCAAGTTGTGTTATTAATGACTTTTTTTTTGAAGTTGTATAAACATAAACAGGAAGCCCTTCCTTTCCTTCAATACGCAGAACTTTTTGCTCAGAAATTTTAGGTTAAGAGTAACTTGTGTTCTTCCTGAGGAGTGTGATGTTTCTGTCTTCTTTTTTTCTCTACTGAGTTAGAGGGATAGTGAAACCAACTCAGAAGCTGTTAAGCCCCTTGTTATGAGGAGTCAATAAGAGGAATAGATGAGAACTGTGCTGATATCTTTAATTAAGCACGCTGCATAACAGAGGTAGAGAGGATTCAGTGACAGAGGACTGGAACAATCTGAATTAGCATTATTTCAAAAACTTCTGTGGGATATTTAAAATGAGTCATTCAAATTGACTAGAAAATAAGGAAAAGGAGATGCAGTACAAAATCCCCTTCATCACAAGATAAAATGTTTGCACATCTTGCCAGTGTTAATAATTCAAACTTAGATACCAGCCTATAGAGTGACTTTCTAGCAATTACATGCAGCATGAATTTTACATTTGCTGAGTACCACATGAATAACCCACTGATTCCAGGGAAGGTGCTTTTCCCAGATGGGTGTATGGCATCTTGGCAGGAGATGGATTTCATGCTCTCCCTGCAGAGAATTCACTATGGCACAAGCACATCCTCTGGTGCCACAAGTGTTCACAAAATCTCAGTTTCCTGATCAGAAGAGACATTAAAATGCTTTATTATTTGTGTTATATGAACATGGGCCTCACTCCAGTAAAGTTCCCTTGAATTTCAGGGTAGCTGAGATATGAAAAATAGAGATCCCATCAGGGAAGAGCAGTAGAGGAATCATAGCAGGAATACAGTATGTTAGTTCAGGTGGTGTTTGGAATTTGCACAGTTTTGTTTCTGTTTGCTGATCAGCAGAAGATATGAACTACTGTTGTAATGCAAGGTGTTTTAAATTAAAGAGACCACAATTTAACTGCCTAAATGTGCCATGCCTCAAGATAATTAGACACTGTGAATTTCCATAGGGCTTAGGTAACCTTAAGAACCCGTGTATGATTTCAAATGTGAGTTAAGCATTAACTTAAACATTTTTTACTTGTTTTCTATTGTTTAATAATTAACTTAATCAGGAGAAATGTTTGTACTATTTTACAAATGTGGTATTGCGTAAGAAAATACATGTACAGAGCACCATCTAGTGCAGGATATCACTAATATAAAAGCCTTTCTGCTCATATGTCACTTGTCTGTATTTAGCTAATTTAATATGAACTATTATGTTGCAGAAAGTGCCAGCCCAGTGCCTCCAGTGGCAATATAATTTTGCAATGACATGGGAGACTATGGATTGAAAATTACTTGGCAGCTTTTGCAAGGACAACAACACTGGATGCACTGAAATTCAGGTAATCATTTGTGAGAACCATATACTTTTAAGAGGAATCTGCTTATCTTCCTGCCCACAGTGCTGGGTGATACATTCATTACAATAATTCAATCCAATCTGTTTATACATTTGATTGGATACTGATTCGATTCTCACAATAAATTTAGAGATCCAACTGCTATTTCAGGTGCCTTAGGTATACCATTTAGTTCCTGTGAGCCGTTACTCGGCTTTGGCAGAACCTCAGACCTACCCAGGTTCCTTAGGCCAGGCATGCACAGGTATGCAAACCATGACTAACTAACAGGCAAGATTAAAGATCTGACTGTCATTAAAAAGGGAAGAAAAGGAGAAAGGAAGGAAGCTTAGATTCTATAGGAGGCAGGTAAAACAATCTTATACACAGGTATTTACAAGTTGCTGGGGAAGGATGGAAAAAAGTGAGCTACAGGTTTGGGGTTTTTTTTTGCAAAGGCCATATTTTAGTTCTTCTGCAAGCAGACAAACATACAAATGTGGCCCCAGGGTTGTTTAATCAATATTTGGATATCAACATCATGGTTTTGATGCAACCTTTTTAGCGCTAGGGGAGGATTAAAAGGAACTGTCTTAGTTAACTGAAGAGGTAGCAATTACAAGCTGGACTTTATCCGGCACTAAACAAAGGTTAAGATGACCCTCAGGTACTTTGAAAGGATGATTTTTGGATGAACACTGTGTATTCAACAAAAAAATAATTAAGCATCAAAAAACAACTGTCACTGTAAAGTTCTACATTCTCTTTGAATAAGTACTTTAACAGAAAATTATAACTTTTCTCTCTCTGAGCATATACTGCATATCAATTTTGGCTGAATGCTTGAAACCTGGCCGATTTCCCAATTCTCAGACCTACTGTGAGAAAACAGCAAGCAGACGCTTATATAAATTTCAGAGTACCTCCTGGTTCTGAAAAGCTCATTTTTTTGCTTTCTAAGTTGACCTCTTAATAGAGAATTTAAAAAAAAAACTAAGACAGAAAAAAAGTGGAAATTTTTGAAAATTTAGATACAGAATGCTTCCCTGGATACTTTTTCAGCTCTCTCTACCTCCTTCACAACTGCCAAAGAGAACTTACTAGTGAAGAAAAGGAAAAGGAGGGTATAAAAAGCTGCATTTTCATTCTTTTTTAGCTAATGAGGAGAAAACTAAAGGAACATGATAGGAATGTTCACAGACCTGTCAAGCCGTAGTTCAGTTCCCCTTTCTGGGTACACCATTTTGCTAACAGCAAGCAGAAGTAGCTTTGACAGAACAGAATGTTTTACTTTAAAAAGAGGTTCAGGAATTGGTGTCAAGAGTAACAGTTTTGGGAATGGTGGGGAGAGGTAGGCTCTAGTTAGGCAGTAGTGCTGAAGAGAAGAGTCTCCATTGGAAAGCAGTAGGCCAGACTGCATTCCCTCAGCTCTGTCAATGCATACTAGACATTCTAGGGAAAACAAATGTTGTAGTATGTAAGGCTCTTTTACTGATAATTTAATTCACCCAGGCTTGTGGTTTCCATTCTTTTAATCTCCAAAATGTTTAGCAAATGGAAGAAAACAGAAATAGAAAACTCAAAATATAAAGGTGTTTCCCTTGAAGAAATATTACAAAAACAGGCATTTTTGATTACATGTTGCTGGTAGCTATCATTATGTTCTTTATTAAATCATGACTGACAAAACATTTCCCTTGTTATTTCTTTGATTCTTATTCTTCTTCTGTTGGGTTATATGATTTGTATCAAATTATATGTATTCATTTTAATCTGTTTGGGAGTTATTACACTGTTCTGTCTAATGCCTGAACAAATAAACTGGCCTTTGTTCTGCTATCTTGTAAGAATAAAGAATACCTTATAACATGTTCATACCTGTTGAGGAAATAGATTAATACAAACAGGCCAGGCCAGGCAGAGAAAAGAATTCTCTTCTAAGCTGTACTCTCTTTTCTAGTGGCTATTTAAATTTGCCTTTTGAAAATAAAGGGTTTGTTTATTTGAGAACAATTATATGACCATTTTGAATTACAACACTTCCACATGTTTTTCATGTGGCCAAAAAAACTTCTGATACAAGGAAAGGCCACAGAAAGATGATCAGAATGAAATACTGTATTAGCATATTTCTAGCAGTATGCTAGATGCTTTTCAGGCAGCTGGGATATCAAAGTCCTTGTTCTGAAGAGTATTCAGTCCAAATAAACATATAAATGCATTGTAAGATGTATAAAAAAAAATTTGCTCCTCTTTCATTTTATGATTTCCAATAGAGAAGGGGAGTAAAATTTTACATCAGAACATGACAAAAGCACCCTAACTCAGCTGAAAGATTTCATTAGCATTCTCATAAGTAAAGAGGATGGATTTATGCTGCAGCAAACAAAAAAAAAAAAAATGCTGCAGATTTTATGAGCACAATCTGTACATGTTAAGAGTCCTTTTTACGTGTTAGAGATCGACCTTTTCTGTACTTAAATCCTCCATGTCTTTTATTTAAATTATACGGAATATGATCTGTCCTGATACTCTCCAAATACATGAGCTAATCTTTCCCTTTTCCTGTGAAAAACTAAGGGTGTTTTTACAATTTCTACATAATGTCATCCATGCTTTTGCAAAGAATTAAATCTTTCTCCTCTTCGACTAGTGAAAGATTTTGAAAATCATGATGAGAAATACTATACTTACAACATCATTTTGAACTACTCCAAAACTGCCATCATATTATTAATGACCCATACCTGCTCATAGAGTTACACAGGAACCCATTTTAAATTGTGAAATAACATTGGATAAAAAATACATATCAGATGTTCTGTTTTAATGTTGAATGCTGAATATATATATATAACTGTATGTAAGTATATACTTATATACATACACACACATACATAGGCTGCATCTGTCTTCCTGTTAGATATAGAATTTAATTGGGTTTAACTGATTAAACAAGGTTCCAAATAAGCAGTTGTAGAGCTATCCACTGGTCCTCTTATGCAGGGCCACAGGGATGTGCTCAAGGCTAGAAATCTCTAGCACTATATCTATTGATACATCAAAAAGATCGGAATATCTAGAATATCTGCTATTACCACAGAAAGCACAGACCTCAAAACCTCTGTACTGCAGATTTTCATCAGCACCATGTTTACATGATAGCATTCTTTTTAGCTGCCTGAACCCCATTTTTTCTCTGCTTAATTCCCTTTTTTTGTCTAGCTGTAACCTGGTTTATCTCATTGAGTGAGGTTGTTTCATATGAACGTCTCTTTTTTCCCCGTTATTCTACACATCCTCCCTCCGTTATTCCATGCAATCCTTTCAAGGATTCTTGCTAAACTTTGGTTTTGGAGGTTGGAAACAGAAGGGAAAATGGCCATGCAGGGAGTTACCATGCAGCTGACCTTTGGCACCTTTACTTAGTGATTGCTGCCATTCATATCAATCATATCAATGTTATTATAAATTGACTGATAGAATGCCAAAAGTTAGTTTAAATTATGTTAAGATTGACTGAAACTGGCTACTAGGTTCAAGAACTGTATTTGGACAGAGGGAGAGAGGCTGGCAGTCCAACTACAGAAGCAAAATTATTTTAGGAAAGGAGGAAAATATAAGCGCCCAAGTTTGGCTCAGATCCATGTGCTTTTTGAAATCTTCATTTGCATCTGCTCAACAGAAATGGATTACTTTTCATCAGATAGCTTTCTAGAGAGTTTTCCTATCTTCTTGATGGCAGCAATCACTAATCAGTGATTCTTGTTATTACTGGCTATTGGAGTCTATTGTGGCGCTAGGCGCAAAAGCCAGCAGTATGCAGAGTCTCTCTTATGATTTTTCTTGTACAAGAAAAATGTGGATCTGCAGCTTGAGAAGGGAAAAAGCGCAGAGAGCCAAGACAAGGACACAGGAAAAGGAGAAGTTAACAGGCTTAGAAACAGAACTGATTTGAAGTGACTGAACAGGGCATTTGAATGTGGAGACTTGTAGAGACTAACAGATACATAGAGAAAGTAAAGATTTACAGAGTCAAGCACTAAGAACCTCTAAAATGCCAGATTTTAGCTGTACATGAAACACACTTCCCTCTAGAGATGCATTATGATAGTCTGTGTTCAAAGCAGAGCTCACCTTAAAATTAGTTGCAGCTTTTGTTATTTAGCCTTTTGGTAAACTCCAAATGTCAATACATTAAATTCCAGGTTTTGTTACCAAATGTTACCAACAAAAGAAAGGCATAATGGTTACCATGAAGAAGAAATGTGTAAATACTGATCATCTGAAAATGTTAGATAGAAATGATGTGACCAGCCCTAGAACTGCTTCAGCAACAATGGACAATTCACTTCTGTATGCTGGATTAAACTGATTCTAGCCTTCACCCCTTCTCTTCCTTCAGTTCCTTGCCTCATTCTTTATACTTTTTATGTATGCTATGTGTGCACAACAAATAAATCAGGAATTTACTGGCAACTCAATTCTAAAGCCTTGAATCATTCCAAAGAAAGTATGTTTCATCCACTGACTAAACCAGCCTTACACTTGTATTTAAATAGTTTTTTTGGTCGTAATACGTATAATTAATTTTCATTTTTGAGACAACACAGTGACAATACTGTTTTTTTAAAGGGTGAAAGGATCTGCAGTTACTACAGAAGCCAAAAATTCTCCACGTTGATGAAGATGTCCTTATACCTAGGTGAATGTCTGCCTCTTTAAAAAAGTCCTGTACACATACTAGCACTAGTATTTGTATCTACAGATTCAAAGGCAATATTGTCTTCCTGTTTACATCTCATAAAACTACTGGTTGCAGAGGAGTTATTCTGGATTTAGATATGCATAGATGAGAAGCAAAAATCTGCCCATCTGTTTTAATTTGGATTGATGTGCTAAAAGATTAATGAGATAAATGGTCTTATTAAAATGCTTAAACTGTATTAGGTTCAAAGTCTGCTGGTCTGACCTTCATGACAACGGATTTCAGAGAATACCACCACCCATGCCAAGTGTACCAAACGATCCCGTTGTCTGTCTTCGCGGTATAGGGGCCTTTGTAGTACAAACCGTTCAAATTGGCAGAGTGACACCTGGTGGGAAAGAAAAGGAAAACAGAAATAAGGCCTTTCCAAAAGTTGCAAGCATTTGTAGTTTCTGTGTGAATCAAAAATTTTGCCATACTGATAAAGGCCCAGCTTGACAGCTGCAAAAATTTGCATTTGTGGACTTCAATGTGCCTAAACAATAACAACTTAATTAAGACACAACTGCAAGTGCTCTTAGCTTCTTTGAAACAAAAGTTCTTTCTGTTCTTCCCACAAGTTTTCTGATGTTACTAGCCCTCTGAGTTTTACCTGCTAATCTGTTTCAGTGGAGAATTATTCCAGTGTTGTCCAGGTCACGTGTGGCAGCAGGCCATACACCAAGCAAAACTCTGGGAAATAAATACTGTTCTGCTTTTTGCTCTGCCAGAGTTGCCCCTCTTAGCTTTTGCAGTTACCCCACACAATGTTTCGTATGACAAAACCTGAATGTCACCATCAGTTTGTCTATTCAGCTGTGGACTTCTATCTGCAAATAGATGAAATCTGACAGCAAATTAAACATATGTGTACCAAATTCATTGGATCATCGTAGCTGTCATTTTATTTGACTGCACAAAGTACTTTTTTTGTTGTTGTTTTTTAACACACTGAAGCAGAACTGCTGTAACAGTTTATTAAATACAGTGGTTAAAACAAACAAACAAACAAACAAAACCCTAGCAAAACCTGAAATGCTTGAATAGGTACCAGCACAACCTTGATACTCATTTGGTTTCTACAAGAAAGATGTTTAGATCCTTATGTGACCATATGGAGAGCAAAATGGTTGTTTCTTCTGCAGCACATTGTAATGAATTGGCTTGATGTATCTGCCAATGCAGTACTTTGTTTTAAGTGCTGTTAATATCTAGCTGTTGAACACCATGATGATTTCAAAAGCAAGCTTCAGAAGATAGGCAAACAGAAAACAGTCCAAATGAACTCTATGGATATTATTACTGGCAAATCTCAGTCTCTTTGGCTTTGCTTACCCTTCATTAACAACAGTTTTTGAGAACTGAAATAAAAACTGTGATAAAATCCTCACAGGAAAATTCTCATGTATATATATATACATACTTATTTATTGCTTACAATTTTTAAGCGCAATTTTGGTAATGTGTTGGTTGAAAGTTTATAAACTGCACATGTCAAAAGTGACTTTGTTTTTGAGAATGGCAAACTTGCGTCAGAGCTTGGGTACTTTTGTAATTACTTGTGTAATCTCTCTCGCCATACAAATGCTGTGTTGAGTAAGTACTCTGTCTACTTTGAATGAAAATACAGATTTCATTAGAAGAATCATAATTGCTAAGAGGTAGCTAGATCAACCGAATCCCTTCTTTCATTTCCTTTGATGGAAAAGGCAAAACATGATTTTGTCAACAGCAACAACCAGCCAGTGACAACTCTTAATCAGTGCTCAAGGCACTAATAGCAAAAATACACAGTATTCTGTAACTGACTGGATGCTGTCTGAAGTAACTGGACATACTAAAGAAAAAACTGGCATGTGATTATTGGCATGATATTCTGAAGCAACATTCATTGTCCACAAGTCAATAAACACCTCAAAGTTAGCTTATGTTCCTCCTTTCTTTCCAATAGGCTAATTTTTAAAGTAAAAAAACGCACTGCAGTAGTTTCAAAAGTACAGTCAACTTTCAGTTATCTGTGGACATTTTATCTGAATTATATATTAACTGTATGACAGATGCAGAGAAATGGAGTTGGTTCCCTGAAGAACTGTTTGAATTCTGCCTGGACTTCCTCACTGCAGTACGGCCCCACATGGGTGTAGCTATGCTGTCTCCAGGATGATTGGTGGGGCAGGAGGCCCGAGTTAGTGAGCTCTGTGGCTCCAGACTGATGCCTGGCAGATCCACTGTGATCATCCATGCATGGTGTAACAAGAACTGGGAGTGCTGGGAGAGAATAAGTTCATGTCCAACTAGGCTTGTTAGCTCTTCTTTTACCAGTTATAAACCTACTGACCTTTGCAACGCGCTGGATGCAGGAAAGCTTATGACCTGGGTGTAGTACCAGAGTGAACCCAGCTCTGTGGATTTGCATCCAAGCTTAAAACCTCTTCTAGAGCTTTGCTTACAAAAGAATGCAGAGGCCAGTTTTCTACAGAAGTCAAGGATAACAAGTGCTCAGCTGAAACAAGAACAGTGGCTTTAAACGAGATCTGAGTTACTTCCATGTGGCCTCACTTGTGTCACATCCCTTGGTATTCATATTATCTGGGCGTTTCTGTATTTCATTAGTCCAGATAGCATAGAGCTGGCTATAAAAAATTCCTTCATAGCTGGGAGCTCCTATACAAACCAGCCAAGAACATTAATTCCTTCTATGTTTGCTAATCTGTACACGAGAAATACGTGTTCTGAGTGCTTTTCTTTCTCTGCCAGTACTGTTCTTTTGGGTAGGATTTAAGGATACTGAAATCTTTTAGTATTTTGCAGTATTCAGTTTTATGTTAGGCTTAACATAACAAAGTCACTAGCAAGGCAATGGAATAACTATAAATTCTTAGTAACTCATTTTCATTATTCAGATAGCCTGTCACTTTAAGAGCAATTGCTACACAGCCATAATAGGAACCAGCCTGGTAGGAGTCAGCTATCTTTAGTAGTTATGTAGCACCAACTACAAGGTATTAATAACTGGCAAGTTCTGCTGTACAGCTACTTTTGCAAAGGGGTCATTCTTTTGTCCAGACCAATCCAACACTAAAAAAAAAAAAAAGTTTTTAAAAGACAAAAAATGTATGCAGTTGACTAAAAGTGATTGGTGATGCACTGTTAATGAGCTCCATGGCATGTATCAGAGATTTATGCTACTTGAGGTCTAGATATTCCTCTAAGTCCACAAAAATTCTGATTTCATGGGAAAAGGATCTCCAACACAGTTGCCTTTCCCTTTTATATCTTAGCTTTCGTGAGAACTGAAAAAAAACTTTGTCTACATGTGATATTTTTCCATATGTCTCAAACATTCTGCTGACCTATTATCCATGCAAATATATTAAAATGTATTAAAATAAATAATTAATTGTGAAACACTGAGTTAATAGCTATATCATGTCAGCTAGAGTGGTCACAGGTTACTTGTGGAAGCAGAATTTGGAAAATGAGGAGTTAAAAAACAGAAACAAAGGATGACACAACAGAGGGAAACAATGGAGTTGATCCAGCCTGGCAGATCTTGCCAAGTGAACTGAGATCACAGTGAGAGTAGTATGCTTCCCCAAGTTGTATTTTAAACCTCTCTATTACACAGCTAGATTGCATAGTTTATCTTAATGGCTATATTTATCTAATTAGTTAAGAGAAAGAACATAGTTGTCTATGCAGGCAGTGCTAAGGCTACCAGTTTTACCCTTTTTTTTAAAATTGGTATTTTGTATATAAGTAGGATTTAAAAATTCTTTTACTGAAAACCCTATTAAAAAAAATCTTCCTCTCAGTCCAGCCACGCTCAGTGACAGAAACTGAATGGATGCATTCCCATCTTGATACAGAGGAAATAACAAGAGTGAGACACTGTGAACTGAGGTGAAAAAAAATGAGGTTTAATAATCCAGCATGAGTTTAACTTGTCATCTCTTCTGCAGTACTGCCACATCTGGTCTAGTGCAATGCAGGAGAAATGCAAGAATGAAATACAACAGGGATACATCTGCAAACTCTACATGACCTACTTGTGTAAAAACTGGTTACCTTGAAGGGGCAGGATTATTTTATCCTTACTCTCTGATAACAAAGATGAGCAAAGACTATGGCAAATACAATTATCACAGACCATCTTGAGCTGTGCGATAGGTGCTGTCCCTTCTAAGGTGAGTTGCAGTCTCACCAGCACTGAGATCTCTGGTAAGGATCAAGGGCAGATTGCATATATCATAAACAATGCTAATCCTATCTTCTACCATATGTTATTATTTTATGAGCATGCATGAAGCAGAATAGTTGACAATACTGATATAAAATCAAAATACCTGTTAAACCACCATCCAGCCTTTTCCTCTTCAGCACAGTTCCCTTCATAGTTGTCATTATCCCTGTCTCTAGTACTGAATTTCATTCCTCGATGATCAGCCCACCATTTTACGTCAGGATGAAATCCACCTGTGAGGGAATCACCGGCAGTGCCAGAGTATTCACCACAACTCATCTCATAAGAATGCTAATGAAAAATGTGAAGAAAGGAAAAAAAAAAATAAATTCCCATATGTCTTTAGCCTTTAGCATGTCAGTGAGTGAAACCACAAAGAGGGAACTGTTTAATTTCCTACTATTTTTATGCTCAGAAATGTCATACCACTTAAACACTGTGTACTAGACAATGAAGGGGTCTAAATGCTTACCAGGGGTAAAATTTATCAATAACCTTATGTATAAATGACATAATAGAAACAATATTAGAGTTCATTTGCAGTACATATTAACAAATCAGAACATCACGTACCATTATTGTTGCTAATATCAGCAAAAATAGAAAAATGCTTTTATCCATGGCTGCTAAACCAAATGATTCATATATCTTACAGAAAGTGTAAAATTGATGTATCAATGTATGCCACTATTATTACATATTTGAAAATTCCAAGCATTCATAAGAAAATATGATATTAAGAAAATATGATAATAAGGTTCTAAACAAACCTTTATGAAAATTAGGGAATCTGTACATTCATTGTCTGTCTACAGAATCCACATTTTCATTAAGAACTCTAGTCATTATTTAATACTTTATTACCTCTTCTCCTGCAACTCTGAATCTTGTATATTGTGCAAAACGCCGTTCTCCTTCAAAATCGGTTAGATCAATTCTTAAAGTATAGTTCCCTTAAGAAATAACAACACAAATTATCTTTGTTAAATTAGTCTATCTCACTACTTTTCAGAACAGAGTATTATAGTAGAAGATTAAAATACTATGTTTTTATCATGAATTTTATATCTATCATCACATCATATTTTATGGGGTTTTATCTTCTTTCTTCATGCATATTAAAGCATATCTTGCTATTCTTTGTCTTTATTCATTTGATTCTTATTATAAAATTTTAGAATTATTCCAATACAGTTTTTCAAGTGTAGACAAAAAATATCTTTAAAATATTGGCCCTATGGACTTTATATTTTAGTAAGGTATTTGAATTGGTAATTAAAGGATAGTGAGAATCAATCAATTAGTGTTAATCCAAGAAAATTAGATTTTTATCCTCTGAAAAGAGTTAAACTAGAACCACATCCTGGTGGCATTGATATCCATATGAATTATCTGGCTAAGTCAATGGGTAAGTTTTGTATATGCAGCATTCTACAGCAAAACAGAAGTTATCTTACACTGAGTGATTATTAGAAAGATGGAAATAGCTTTCTAAGACTAGCCTAATCAACAGGACAGGCCTAGATTTACCTTCACGTAAGAGCCTGTGCAGCCATGTAAAGCCACGACTAAATGAATTGGTACAACATGCTACCTGACTCTGGACTGTTAGTGATACTGACTGAAATGGGTAGAGACAATTCTTTTAAGGTATAATCCTGGCTAGTGTTGCCTGTTTTTCAGTAGCTCCCTGCATGCCATTGGTCCAATGAGAGTTTTGAACCTTTTGTTAGAAAACATATTAAAATGTGTTTTGTACTGAAACTTGGAGAAGTCCATGCAGACTAAAACAGGACTCAGGATTTATGCTAACGAAAAGGCTAACAAAAAATGGCCATGAAAGAGTAAAGAAACAGAAACAATAGAAGACTCTTTTTACAATATGAATCTTACCCTGATTAGTCAAATAATGAAGATTTCTATTTCCAAGCCAGTATTCACCATTTGTCAAAACAAAATTTCCAAAGCCTTCTTCATAGTCAGTCCAGACTCTGAAAAAAATAATAAATTACTAATTTATGAAAAAAGTAAGTTTTCTTGGATGTTTATTTTATCATACAATCATAGATCACAGAATAATTCAGACTGGAAAGAACCTCAGGACATAATCTAGTACAATGTCCTGCCCAATGCAGGGTCAGCCGTGAGACCAGACCAGGTTGCTCAGGGCTTGTCCAGTCAGATCTTGAAAACCTCCAGGTATGGAAGCTGCACATCCTCTTTGGGCAACCTGCTACCTGTTCTCATGGTGAAAATGTTTTTCCTTATATCCAGTCTGAACATCTCTTGTTTCAACTTATGTACTTTGTCTCTCATCCTCCCACCAGATAACACTGTGAAGAGCCCGCTTACTCAATAAGCTCTCAAATTGCTCTTAGTGACCTCCTTGTAGGTACATACAGGCTACTATTAGGTTCTGCTGAAGCCATCTCTTCTTCAAGCTGAACAAGCCTTAGCCAGTCCTCATAGGGCTCAAGCCCTTGATCATCTTGATAGTCTTCTGCTGAACTCTTTGTAAGTTCATTATATTTTGGAACAATAATAAACAAATATTTTAGACTTTTAATACCTTATTTACATTGTTGATCTTCACAGAATTATTTCTATTTCTCAAACGTGAAAGTCTGAATCCCACACTACACTGATCACTGAATCCCAGTCCAAAGAATAGTCCTAAGAGGTACATTCAACATTAACAGATTTTTAAAACCAGAAGAAAACACATGAGTTCAGTCCAATCTCTGGTATGGTACAATTTACCCAAATTATGACAAAATTCACCATTTTCCCTACTGAAATCCAAGGCATCTAAGTGAATGTGTAGGTGTATCACAAGAATTGTTTCTTTATTTTCTGTGATTTGATTAAGCTGTGAAATTCCTGCAGCTGGCTATATAATTTTGTAAATTGAGGTATTAGCTTGCTGTTTCCAGCTTTGACTTATTGACTGATTCTAGCAATTTTTTAACTCATACTGGTGCACGGTTTCAATAATGAATGTGTATACTGAAAGCATTGAATCTTCTCCCTGTCTACAGTGGCTTTGAAACACTTCCTCAGTGGTTTTGGTTTCATGATGTGTTCTGACGGGGACAAAAATATGATCTCTTTCCTTGATGAGAAGCAACCATACTTCAACCAATGGGTGAAAGTATTAGGCTGTGAACAGGCAGTCGTAAGAGAAAGCACCTTCTGTGACTTAAATACCTGGTAGTCTCTGGCAAAGAAGAAGGATGGGTGATGTGTGGTGGTAACAATTGTAAACTGCTACAGATTGCTTCTGTATCTTGTCTGACCATATTTTGTAAAACAGGAATAGAAATTTTTCATGACTAGATTGCAGTTTTTCATCCTCTCTGCAGATCACTTATCTAGTTCATAAGGGTCTAGTAAAGTTAGTTACAACAATTATAAACACAGGTAAGACACCAATCCACAGGAGGATGCAGATATGTGAAAAGAAAATTGGGAGAAGTGGAGGTTCTAAAAACCTTCTTGTTGCTTCTAATATCTGTAAACATTTGTGGGGTTTTATGTTCAAGTCTCAAAGCACCAAAAATTTCACTTCTGGACATTTCCCCAAAATGCCTGAGTCTTGGCAAAGGCAAGGAGGTTAGGTGTCCACGAATCAAATTCTCACCCATCTTATCTTTCCTGGAGGCATTTTACCATAAGCTGCAAATTACTGTGTGGTGGGTATCTCTCATACTTGTTTGCTGATGACATTTCAGTTCAAGCAGATTGTTTACATTTTTATTTTTTAGATTTTTAATATTTGCAAAAGACAAGGTAGTCCTTGTCATTAAGAGTTCTTGCTCCAGCAATTGGTAATGCATTTGACATTGAAGTGTCCTCATGTAAAATGCAGAAGCTGTCAGAAAAGGACTAGAACAGATGTCTCCCAGAAGGGAGACAGAGTCAGAAGTAGTATCTCATCCGGAGGCTTCCCCACAGAATAACCATTTCTCCCTTTTATCTGAGATAACAACTTATTCATATAATTATAAAGTTAAGATTTAACTTAGCTCCATTTGGTTTAATGTTTCTCCAGTTCGTTTCCAATTTTAATGACTAAGTCTAGTACCTACCTATCAAAATTTTGGCTGCCATCAGAACGTCTCTGAAAAACAGTCCAACCACCCCCTTCAGACATGTCACAGAAGGCCATGAATTCAGCAGGACTCTGGATAGGTTTCATCTTATAAAATCCACTTTGCTTATGGCCGTCATTGTAGATTTCTGCACAGTCTGTTCACAAAACATTAGTTGGACAGTTTTTAGTCCTATACTTACTGGCAAAACCAGAAATCAAGTCACATCATACAAGCATCACATACCAATCAAGCTGATGCAAATGAAATACCTCTGCAAACACATTTTTATGAGTTTTGCACATTTACTTGTATTTATGTTGCTTTAAAACTTTATTGAGCTGTAATTATTTTCTTTAGAATAATCTTTTTTCTTCCATAAAATACTATAATTTTTGTTTTCATGTGACTGACAAAATAATTCCTCCGGTTTAAGTGGCGTTACTTTTAATTTCCAGTGGTATAACCCACATTAGAATTCTGTTACGGTCATGTAAGTTCTCGACATATAAAACACACAATAAAACACATAGTAACCTCTAAAACCAAATGTGTACTTCTGTGTCCAGAAAGTCCACAGGAGAACTGACAAAGACAAGAGTAAGGAATCACCTGTGCTAGAAGAAAGAAACAATGGTTGGACCTGATATTCTTGTCCCCTGTACCAAAGAGGTGCAAAAATATATAGAAGGCTATCCCCAAAAAGTGCAATGTATGTGTAAAATGATGCCAGTTCAGCTTGATACCATTTACTGTCTGCTCTCCGTTGGTGTTAATGACTAATCAGCATTCACACCAATGACAAAATTCAGAGCTCGTGAAAATATAACAACAATGTAATTGTATAATCTTATCTTTTTTCCTTTAGGAGTTAAGAAATGAATGGATTTCTTCGTTTATATATCATCTACCGTCAAGCAGTCATACAGGAAAGATGTATCATTTTCAACATTTCTGTTTTTCCTGGCAGAGGTAGGGCTGATTAACTGTAAGATTTTCCCTGAAACATTTATGAATATGTTGGCTGAACTTCCAGGCCAGTTTGGAACTTTCTGAACTATTCTATTTCTTCTCAGGGAATGTGTCAGTGAAGATTAGACATAGAAAATAAACACTTTATGCTGAAAACAAATAGCTATGCCAGGATGGTTTTAAATAAAATCTAATAGAAAATATGATTTAAATAACAGCTAAGTTGTTTTTCTAGAGAATGTTTGACTGGCTTATAGCTTTTCTAGTCCCTTATATTCTTAGTAGGTTAGCTAAACACTTCATCATATTTTAATTTTTAGCAGGTGTATATGGTGTGGAATTTCTCCCTCACTATCTAACCCCAAATTATCCAGCCCTGTTGGCATTAAAGTCCTACAGCAGTTTGAATGAAATAATGCAGTATCAACAGGGAAAAGCATTTTTCAAGCTATAAGTAAAGTTGAAAAAATAATGGAAAAAAAAGCTCATCAGAAACTGGAACAACGTAGATCTGTTATTTAGAATCACATTTTAAGAAAATAAACTGAGGTATATGATCAGCAAAGACAAATACCTTTCAACTAAATATGGTTTTAATAATATTTTCCAGTAAGAAATGTCAGCCATACTAATAAAAAAAGTATTCCACGATGCTGAATACATAAATAAATATACAACTAAAATTTAAAGTATGATTTCCAACTGCTTTTAATTTCATTTTAATGGTACTTTATTATATTTGATGCCTTGTTATATGTTGTGATTTCTTCTAGAAGCATAAACTCTACAAGTATATTCAAAAAAGGCTATTAACAATTATAGAGGTTTAGAATCTCTAGCACTGGACAGCTAGAAACAAACACCATCCAAGAATGAGACCCTCAAATTGTATTTTCAGTCCAACTATTGGTTTGGATGGTGCTTTATTATTTTAACAGTTTGGGCCTCACTCCAGATACTACGATCTAACACACTTAGCATTTCTCCACTGCAGGGGGACCTGATCACCACCAGAATGCTGGTGAGATTACAAAAACAATTTAAACCCAGTATTTTAGAAACTGTGATGTCCTGAGCTGAACTTAACTCAAAGTGGTGCGACATACATGGTGCAACATGTCTATTATTGGCTTTTATCTGTTATATTGTTCATGTTTACTGTGAATTTATTGTTCATTGATTGTCTTTTAATTATATCCTATTAATAAATCAATAAAACGCTTCAATCCTGATTTGATTTATACCATGTAACATTAACAATTTTTCCCTGTGGCAACAAGCCTAGGTAAAAAGCTGAACACTGTGTTTTAAACAAACAATTTTCTATGAGCTTTTAAAACAATAAATCAATGGGCCCAATTGTGCTAAAGCTTCTGGGTATCACTGCAATGAATGGAAATGAGAAGAATAGTTTCATTTCTAACCTGAATACTGTCTTTTTCCTCCCAAGTCAATGACACTGTTTTCATCTCCTCTGCCACTGTACTGAATGTCTTTCTTCTCTAAAAGCTGTATAATTTTTAACTGCTGCTGTTTCACACGATGTTCCAGAAGCCTCACCTGACCCTGAAGTTGTATCTGCTCTTGAAAACAGTTCTGTAGATCCTAGAGAGGAAAAGATATCTTATTGTAAAATCAACAGCTTTTTGCCACATTTAACACATGACACAAAAAAAAAAAACAAACAAACCATAAATAAAATATAACTTGAATAAAACATTTTGGTCAGTTTCCTACAAACACTATGTTGACTTCCACCTCAACTGCTACTTCTATTTAGAATTATTTCATATATTACAGCGTGACCAAACATATATCTGTTTTTCAAAGAGACTTTCTCTTTAGTGGCTATAACTACCAGCTCTCACTGCAAACATGCAGAGAGGACTTTAGGGAAAAACACTATAGTACAGACCCTATCATAAACATTGCTTATTCTCTGTCATCTGCCATGTACAGAGATTTACTATCCAGTGAGGCCTGCTACTAACATTGTGAATGTTCTAAAATTCGATTTTTAAAGAAATACAGTCCACACTGATATATTTCATTGTGCATTTTTCAAATGCTTTTACATTACACACTTTTTATGATAAGAATCTTAACATTGCCAGCATAAATATTGTAAAGTTTCAAGCTCATTTTTGGCATGCTAAAATAAATAGTCCCTAAGAAGCTGCAAATATGCATGAAAAATAAAATTTAAAAACTTAAAGTCAATATTGTACTGTAACTTGTACTCTTAATTTTGCCATGCAGAATGGGTGAGAAATGTGGTGATTCTGATATGGCAATACCTAGTACTCTTTTCACCCTGGTGCAAACAGGGATACATGACAAGAGAACTGGAATAACTGTTCAAGATTCTGACATGATGTATGTACGCAGAGAAGTAATTGTTTTTAGATTAATGACTATTGTTAAATAGCCAAAGTGAACAGAACCCAATCTAGAGAGCTTAAATTAGAACAGCCTGTACAGTTCCAAATACATATTAAATAAATTTTATTTCAACATGGAGAAAAAAGCCTTTGGGGTTTTATCATACATTTTACAAATGTGACATGAGGTTTCCCATCAGTAACATTGAGTCTGACATTTTATATGAGCAGAGTTTAGTAGCTATAGTGCTTGCATGAGAGTACAACTAGTACTGTAAAAGTAAAATCAGAGGGCAACCTTTCGGACATCTGATATGCAATATTAAATATGCAGCAGTTCTAAATTGGTGCAACCTTATTCACAGGGCAACATTATTTACATGAGGTAAGAATGTAGACCTGTAACATTTGCCATCCATATGGAAGAGCTGGTATCTTGGAACATTGCCCTATCACACTGAACTACAGAGAGATCTGAAGTAGCATACTGATATGCATCCACATACTTTCATTTGTATCAGGCTCAGGCTTCACCTATTTTCCATGAATACTCCCACCAAAATGTTCATTGTCATTTTCTTCCTGCAGTCATTTTTTTTTTCTCCTATCTGAAAAGCTGACACCATCCAAGTAAGTTTCTATGCAGTACAAACACAGCTCTGGTTAGACTGACCTCCTTGCAGTACCACTCACCACAACTCCAAGAATAATCTTTGTGAATTAAACTAACAGTATTAATTAGAATCTTCATTTTATGACTCTACCACATCCAGATTTTTTTCATAATTAATTTGTGGTACTAGGTAAAAAGCAGAGGAACTTCTGCTACTGTCAAGGAACATCCATATAAACCATGTCATGACTATGACCTGTTATTTTTGACAGAAGTGTTGCAGGCCCCTTTGCTTTTTCACTAGAGAGGATGCAATTCACTTTCAACACATAGACAAATAAACTAGAGACATTTCAAGAGAGTATTTGAAGATAAAAGAAACTGTGTCCATGAGTTCAGTAAAATGGCTCCTAGCCACCGTGTTCCATTTGCCTACAATATTTAATCATATTGGAAAATTTGATGATCAGACTTTGCAGAACAATCCTGAATACAGGCCTCTGATGTAAGTATTTCTGAAGTGTATCAGATGCTTGCTTTAACTCATACTTAACTGCAGTCTAATATACATGGTGGAATAAAAGAATGGGGAATATCCACGTGGCAGGACTAGGCAGTTTGTCAGTGACCTGTTTGAGAGGAGAAGATTCAGCTGCCTCTCTGGGTTTGGGCTGCCTGTGTCAGGCTATGTCTGCAGATGCCAACCGACTGCTCGCTGCTACGTCTTGAGAAGTCATTAAGATACTTGACCACAAGGAGGGGCTGTCAAGTAAGAGGCACGTTTACCAAACACTAGCATTTTTAGAAGAATAAACAGAGCAGAGAATGACCTAATATCCCTAGAGACCTATCTAATTTAAGAACACTCGCTTGAAAATCTTTTTCAGTTGTTGATAGCTATAGGAGATCCCTAGCATAAATTCCTTTTCTTCTAGCAGGAAATGAGAGAGGAAAATACTGAAAATATATGCACATAGAGAGATAAACTTGCTACAGTGGCTTAAAAGGATGTTATTTGACCATAAGCACTGGTTAATGTGTGACATGTTGCATATTACAAAGAAAGGATGCACTATTACACAGTCTCTCCAGGGTGGTTCTCTCAACTTGTATCTGCAGCTTCATATAAACCCTTCACAAAAGCTGAGTTGAATTAGAAAATGCAGAAGAAGCTTCCTTGACAGGTCTCTGCAAATTCTCAGACTAATCCCAAGTACCTACAGAAAATTATGGAGAACTGGAGAGCTGCATGGGTGGGTTGAAAAAGACTGAATAAATAGTAAAAAAATATATTTTTCCAGGCTCACCTTGACAAACTAATGCTAACTATAGAAGTAAAGCTAACAATCAGACCAAATATTAATCCTAATCATATGAAGAGTGATAAAGGAGCCACCATTCCACACTTACCAGTTTTACTGCAGTGTTTGTTTATTGAGAAAGTTAGCCTGTATCAGTCTTGACTCAGTACTTGCCACCTTGGAGAACACGGTAAAACACAATAGGAAAGACCTGGGTGACCCTGGAAATGGTGGCCCCTGTCTCCAGGCCCTTGCAATTTAATAGGCAAGACTTCAGGTGAACGGTTTCTTTAGCACATGCCAAGGTCTGAGCCACGAAAAGCTACTTTCAGTTGTGGAGAGAGCACGAGTCTGTGCATTTGAGGAGAGGCAGCCACAGGCAGCTAAGTGTGTTTCTTTCAGGTGTACTGAAAATGCATCTATCACTTCACATATTCATAATGCTAAAAGCCATTCTCCTACTGTGATTAAATTATATAGTAAAAGTACAGAACTTCTCAAAAAATATTATCATACCTTAGATAAACTTGGTATCTAAATTCTGTATGACACTACTTAATATACCACCATAAAATTTCCTTCCCGTTGAATCAAATTAAACACAAATCGGCAGCAGACTATGTCTCTAAATATTATCCTTATCTTTGCATTTTAAATTTAAATTTTCTTTTTGTTTACTTAAAAATTGTGAATTAATAAAAATTAAAAACTAACACTGAACCAATTCTCATCTGCTTTACAGACAATACACTCATTATGGGGTGAACAGTAACACACATTACATGTAATAGTTTCCTGATGAAAAGGATTTAAGCTCACAGTGCTGGTAAATAGTAACAATCAAGAAATTACCAGCCATACTGAATAACTACACCATAAGAAAGAAATGACTGAGCAGACATAAAGTTTTGAAAGTGACACACATATGAAAAGTAGTGGTATCTGATACATTGCTTTCTCTCCCTGGCTCCAGCCTCCTCATTGACATCTCCTTCTGTCAACTCCAGACAAATCCCATTACATTTTGCTGCTGCACCGCAAAACCACAGTTCTCCTATTTGGAATTCCACGCTTATTTTTCCATGGGACAATCACAAGTTAGCTGTGTAACTTCAAGATGGATCAATGTGGCTTTTAGATCTCCAGGTTACCAGACTGTTCTTTTAATGTACCACTACACTTTTTCACAGGATAACTCTTTTAAAATCATTGGAGTTAAACTAGTGCACAGTTAGAGTAATATCAAAGCAAAATGTAACCTAAGGTTATAAAAGTCAGCAGCTATAACATATTGTTATTACTTTTGTTAGTGATGGACCAAACTTAAACTAGTACAGTGTTAAAATACTCAAAAAAATGTGAATTTGATTGTGCCTGTCTCCAGTGGATAGCAGTGCCCACTGATTGAAACCAGACTGAACATAACCTGTTCTGTCTGTTTCAGTGAAGCAACTGTTTGTACTACACACTGAAAGGCAATTTTCTAACAAATGCTGACAGCTCTGCTCTGGGACATGTGGTCCCATATTTAACCAGCTGCTGCAATTAATGTGCATTCACAATCTTTATTTCATTATTGTGTGAATTATTTAGCAGCTAGTGACCTTCCATTAGAATTGATGCTATAAATTAGACTCAGAATACTTTATGAAAAATATAAAAATACAAAATTTTTACTTGAGGTGTTAATTCCTATATTCTAAGAATTTTAATGAGCTCCAAAAAATCTCTAATGAGATTAGTGTTTTAATGAGATTAAAATGCAAAAATTTAAGAGATAAATTTCAGAAAGTTCCCAGTTTTTATTCACAGGATCAGCCAAAGGCCATAGTATTCCATATTAAAAGTCAGAAGAAATCAAATGCATTTCATTGTAATGTCTTTTTCTCAGTAGGCTTCTATAAAAATTAGTAATATTTTTCTCCACTGAGCAGAAGAGATTACAGAGGCAGGTGCTTCCTATTCTGTCCCTATAGAGCTACTTATCTGAACAAAAGTCTTCCATAAGATAACATATGCCACAAACAATGATGCTCACCTAATTGTAAATTCAGCAACCGCTTCCACATAGGCAATTATGAATCAACAATTCAATCTCCCAGGTCCGTGCTAGTTAGGACCTGAATATCAAACTGGGAAGGACAGCCAAGACAGGAAGTACAGGGCTGGTGAGGATAGAAGTATTTTAAGCAGGGAGTAAGAGAGAGAGTGTGTGTGTGTGTGTGTGTGTGTGTGTGTGTGTGTGTGTGTGTGTGTGTGTGTGTTTGTGAGGGGTTTTGCTAGAGAGGCAGAATACATAGCAGAAGGTTTTGGCAGCTAGAAGTGAAGGAGATTTGATCATTGTTTCTGAGTGTGAATTATAACATAGTACCATGGGAACACATAAGAATATGAAGCCGTGGATCTTATTTGAGAAAAAGTTGTATGGCAAGTGGACAAGGTAGAAAAGGATAGAAACATTCTTCGTCCTTTGTGTCAATGACCAGAAAATACTACTTCTGCAGCCACTGCTTTAGGAGTTCCTGGGGTTTGCCTTTCTGTAAGTATGCTGCTCAAAACCAAAGGTGTTATTCTGAGTTAGCATTACCCCTGAATGGTAGTATAACTGTCTTGTGTGCCTTCTGTACAATGTGTCTGCTAATGCATTATATGATATCTTTTTTAGCAAAGATATTCTATCTCCTCCTATTTCATGATGGATCCAGTAACAAACTGACTTTCTTCAGTGCTATTGCCCAGTCATTTATCTTCCATTGTATATTTATGCATTTGATACTTCTTTCCTTATTGGAAACTTGTCCCCACTGAATATCATTTGAAGTTATTTCCCCAGTCTTTCAGTTTTGTTCTGAATTCTAATCTTTTCCATCAAAGGTTCTGCCATCCTGTGTAGCTGAGATACACTGTAAGCACTATGGAGGACAAGGTATGAATATTTACAAGAAGCTCTATAGGCAAATTTAATTACTAGAACTTACAGAGCTGCCAATGGCATCCATCAAGCTAGCTGCAAGGACAAAATCAATCATTATCAAAATCTTCATTCTTTGGAAGCTGTGAAGTAGAAGAAAAAATGAAACACTAGTTAACTTTGTTAACATTAAACTAAATTGTTAACATTAAACTTTGTAAACATTAAAACTAAATATTTGAAAGTATTTATTTGAATTAAATATTCGTTATTAGAAATAATCTATATAACCGATAATTATTTTCTTACATATTGTAAATATAATGCATATTTTGGCTTCATTACAAATGTCTAAAACAATCTGATCAAGTACAACTCCAAAACCCAGTAAAAACAGAACTTATCCTCTTAGGCCACTTTGTATCAGAGCTCTCCATGTATTTTAAGACAGCTATTCAAGATTCAAACGCATGCATTTTATTGTGAAACAAGACAAAAGCAAAATAGCATTTTAAAATGCTCTGAAAAGCAGGACAATGTTCCTTGTTGGTCCTCTAAAGCTGGGAGAAAGCTCTCTGTTACATTCAAGTAATTAAAATCTGAATTGGGCTAGTTGTCCTTGAACTAAAGAAGATCTGCTCAACTTCTGTGTGCCAGGAAAGGCTGGACATAATTTTACTGTTATAGAGTAATTTGGGGGAAAATGTGTAATAGTTATCAGCTTTTATTCTAACAGCGACAAGGATGACATTGTTCAACAGACAGCTATGCATATTTTGTTCTGTATAACCCACAGCATTTTAAATCCCACTCTTTCATATGAAAATTATTTTATATGCCAGACAATCACCACTGTATCTCACTATCTTGTAAACATTAGCTGATACAACTCCACAACTTTCTGTGAGGCAGATGTGTGCTTTTCAGCTCACAGATGAGAAACCGAGGCCTCCAATTACTAAAATATTTACATAGATTATACATGAACCAATTCTAAAGTGATTAGTTAAACTGCTGCAAGCTATCAACTGAGGAATGTTTATTAAAAAAAAAAAAACACTTAAATATTTTCATTTAACGTATGCTAATGCCTGTTTAAACAAAAATATGTGTCCACTCTGCTTTTTCCATTTATTAAATAACTACATGTTAAAACATTTTAGTTAGACAAAGCATAAAACCTATAATAGAGGTTAATAATTCAACGACAGCACGTGTTATAGAAACACCAACTTTGTGGAAATTTCCACTCGTGCTTCTACAGGAATTAATATAAAGCACCAGTGGAACTCTGGCAGACTGTGCTTTTTTACTGTACAAAGATAAGAAAAGCGCTTACGTGAAGTATGTTTTTAGGTTCTTGTAAAGTTGAACAGGTCCAACTTATTATTTGCACCAATCTCTGAAAACCTCATGCAAGAGTACAAATTATAGCCCAGACAAATTTCAGGTTTTCAGTACCTACCTATAAAATATTTAGGAAGCTTTTTTAAATTACAGTTATCTTATTTAAGTAAGCAACATTTTTCTTTTTAATTTTTAGTTCTGAGTTTTGCTGGTTTGAAAGCATCATATTTGAAAGCATAGAGTTGTGACACCCAAATGTATCTGTATAAAGCTCATTATACCACTTTTTGCACTGGACTGATGCAGACACAAGGTGTTGAGGGTACTCTGTACCCACTGACTCACGTTACAAACAGCTCAGAATTTTTTTTAAGCATTTTGGACATATGTAACATCGACCATTAAGCTGCAAAGAACTATACTAAACCGATGTCTATCTCTAAGGATTCCAAAGGACTCCATTAAAAATTACCTATAAAATGTTTCTTGAGTAGAAAGTGTGAACTGAAAATCTCAGGCTAAGATATTTCTATGCCATAAAGTTTCTGCATTTTAAGTTGTAAGCTGTTCTTCATGCTAAGCAAATAAATGTTATATCATTTGAATTAGAAACGTTACCATAATTCAATGCCACAAGTTCTGCTACTATTTGAAGGGGTGAATCCTATGAATTTTGGGCTTAAAAAAGGACGGTGGTGGAAATCGGCAAGACTTGCCTGGCATTGAATTCTGTTACTAATTTAGATTTCAGAGGTTTCTGCCATGATAAAACATGCACTTTCACATTATGACAGTAGTAATTATGGCTATTGCAGCCACCACCGTTTCGAAAGCAGCTGTTGCCATCTGTTGCAATGACACTGTCTGTGAGAGGAGTGACCAAAGAGTACGTTAGCTATCTGGACAACCCACAAATGACCCATCTCTGATAACTGTGCTGTCCCGACTCCATGCCTATCTTAAATATGTTATCGAGGAGAGAAGGGACTATATTTTTTTCACTGGAAGATTCATATTTAACTGTTCTGCTTCATTCTCTGTTATTTTCATTATAAAAGCACACTGTTCTCTTTCACATTAGTCTTAACATTCAAACTGTTCTAGCATGATTTCACTGACTATGAATGTCTGAATACCACAATCAATTTTAAATGGCTTGTACAGCTTTACAACTACAGTATTCTTATTTTTTAAAAAAAGACTATCGAGTCAATCTTGCATACTATTCGGAGAAATTCATGTTGGTAAAAAAAAGCAACAACAACAACAAAAAAAAATACTATCAGGCACAATCAAGGTAGATTACGTCCCTTACAGCATGTGTGAGCTACTACAAGGAAACTGCACGAAATGAGTGAAGAGTTGAGGAGTGTAGAGCGTGCGCAGTTGGTTTGGTTTGTCATCTTCAGGTGAAGTCACCTTTCTATTTAAAGGGTGCCTTTTTCTAAAGTATGTTCCTGTTGTGGGGAACTTCATAAGGGCTGCATTTGGAAGACAATTTTGTGTGTATCAGCTTTAGCACCGAACTAAGATATGCTCAAAAGACATACCACAATATAGGAATAGTCTCATAAATAAAATTCCGAATGCGAGGATTTAAATACATTGCTCATAATATTTTAATCCTGCAGTTTAATTTTTAAGGAAGAAAGTTGGACAGTAAACCCAAGATGGATTATTGATCCTGTAGTCAATAACAATATGAGCTCACTATGATCATAAGAGAATCAAGAGGCATATAAAAAGGGAGAAACAGAGAGCTCCATTTGGCAGACCTGTCAGTCAGAAATAGGAAGACATTGAAACAGAGAGGACACAGGAAAAAAAAAAAACACAGAGTGGGCCTGAAGTACGAAAAAGGATTGGGAGGACCAAAATCTTTCTGCTCTTATCCTCCCAAAAAAGGAGAAAGGTCAAGAAGACTAGGAAGAGACATGAAAACTCAAGCTCTGAAAGGAAATGGCTGACCTAACGGTGTTTCTCTGCTTCTGTCGCTGCCCAGCAGGGAGACCCAGACAAGGTAGAGGACAGTGAGCAGTGCTGACCCTGGAAGGAGCAGTACCTTGTACCTTTGCGCCAGTTTCTCAGCAGGTTTTAAACTCCCATAGTTTATCTGATCCCACAGATCTGCACTGACATGAGATTCACTGAGTGGTCAACCCTTCAGTGATAAGGAAATTAGTAAATAGGGTCAAGCCCCATATATGTTCAAAAAGCTTCGCATACACTAACTGAATCAACAGGTTCTGTCTTGGAATTACTGTGGGAAACTGTTTACTCAGTTTTAGGTATTTCTACAAAAAGTTTCAGAAAAGGTTATATGAGTAACAGTTCTCTGAAAGTGTACATCCATGCTCTTTGGTAATATGTAAAGCCAAAGTTCTGTTCAAGAGAAGCTTAAAATCTTGCTTGAAGAAGACTGCTTTGAAAGTCAGTTTCTTAAACTAATTTCTCCACTCATTTAAATATTTACCCTGGTTGTTATATAGCTATTTAAAATGCATTATCCAGAAATGTATGTGGAGGATAAAATAATTAAAAATGTAGAAATAATTAAAAATGTAAAATCTACAACCACTGATAAACATTCACACATACTGCAATAAAAATATTCCCTGCAAAAAACTGCAAACAAATTACAAACCTTAATCCATGTCACAGATGAAAACAATTGCATAATTTAACAAATATTTTTATGTTGCTGATGCTAGTGAATCCAAAGAGTTAATAAGGTCCAAGGAGTTAATAAGGTCCAAAGAGTTAATAAGGTCCAAGACTTTTATTATAACACCTGTGTTGGTTTAACAAAAACAAAAAAACAGATCTGTGCAAAACAGATTCCTTTACAAGAAAATCTTAATCTCAGACAGTAGATATGTACCACATATCATGGCAGAGTGAGAAAAACTTAGTGTAATATTTTCAAGTTGAAAACACAAGCCCTTAACAGTCAGCTGAAAAAAAAAAAAAAAAAATGAATCACTTTCTGTTTTAATAAAATTGAAGTTTAAGGGCAACTCTTGTGAAACCTTGAAATTTTATCCATATGAGATTACTCATTTACTATTCAAAGATTACACCTGGAATGTGTACTTGCACAGCTGTGCAGAAAGATTTCTCCAAAGCTACAGAATAAAAAGTCTATAAAGTTATCTTTTTCCTTCTCTGTGCCTGGACTTTCTTTCATGTCTACTTAGACAAGCAATCCTACATTCAAATTTCCTATAAATTTGATGTTTTTTTAATGTCTTTCAATAACAAGTTAATAAATAGATTTGATGGCATTAGAGAAACTCTGTGCTATGAAAATTTTGAACTGTCAGTCTGTTTTCTTGTTCTTGAAATCTGGAGACAGTAAACTAGATGGAATTCAGATGCCTATTTCTGCTTGTACAGCATCAATAAGAATTGCATTACTAATAAATACAATAATAATGAAAGAATTTGCTAACAACTTGAAAGATTTTTGTTTGCTTTCTTAAAATTCAAACTGGTTTTAATGATTAAACTCAGGCACAAATGAACAATAATTCATGATTTTATCTACCTTTAGGCTTAAAAAGCAGCTTTGTTCACACAGTCACACATTATTATAAATTTTAAAACTACAGGTTTGATTATGCTAGTTTTATTAGCTATCAAGATATCATAGCAAAATAGCTAGTTCCTGCTAAAATATGAATACATCATTAGCAACATTGCACCAGTCATATGGCCTTCAAAACCACATTACTTTTAAACCATAACTATAGCAATTACCCCAAATTCTTCCTTCTTCCCTCACAGATACCTAAAATGTTTACCTTTACCCTCTGGATTGAACTCAAAGTTGTTAAATCTTCTTAAGCTGATGCAAAGAATTCCAGAGCCCTTCCCAGGCTACAATTGTTTTTGCTATTAAATTCTGTGGAGTTGAGGCTTACATCTGCTATGAGTCACTGGGCAGGAATGCAGGAATGTTACAGAGAAGTTGCAGTTATCAAGACCAAATTGCAACATAACAAGGAGAAGATGGTAACTTTGTGCCTAACACAGTTCTGAAATAAAAATAGACCAAAAATAACAAAGGATCATCCACTCCCTTTCAGTGCTCTAATCCAGGAAATTGCTCTCAGCATCATATTCAGCTATATACTCCAGCGCTTTCCTGAATCAGACCCTAAAACTCTAAGACTTCAGAGGTATAGAGAGCATAACCATCTCAACTGATTTAAAAAAATAAAACATAATCATTCAGACTAGAAGTTACAAGTTAGAGGTGATAAAATAAAAAGAAATCTGCTAAAAAGACCCCCACATAATAACAAAGATAGTACAGAGAAAGCCAAAGGGAACAGGAAAAAAAGGACAAGGAAACTTGTTTGATGCAAGTCAATATTTTTTAGCTAAATCGGAAGGCACTGAGAAGCACATGATCTGTGACTTGGTTAGACAAAAACACTTTCTCTATAAGCTTTTTGGAGCTAGAAGTTTCAAATGCAATTTGTTTTGAGCGTTTACCATCCTTCTATGCTGGCTCTTCCCCAAAAGTTCAATAAATGAATATGCTTAAAGGAATGCTTCTGGGAAAAGTGAACTCTTATGAAATATTGAACAAAAGCAGTAAAAGGAGTTTTACATTTCATATATTCACACCATCAACTTCCTTTTGAAGACTAATGCTTGTTGTGCACTTCCTCTGAGTAATTTCTGGTGTATTATTTGGAATCTCTTTACCTGGCAGTATTTCTTCTTACTAATTACATTACATCAACTAATTAGCTTCCTGTTCTGAATTTCAAATATTTAATAATTGCAATAAATTTTGCATGAGTAGCCTACACTAACAATCATTCAAATTTCAAAATCATTCAGCAAGTCATTTTCACTGGGAATCTTACTATGGCTAATGACTTTTGCAAGGAGGGAGATCTGTGTTCATAGTGTGACTCTTAACTCTCAGCTGATCGTTACTCAGTGGGTGGGCTTTGAATTTAGAAAGTGGAAAAAAGACATGGTATTTTAAACTTGGATTTATTAACCATTTAAACAATTTATTGAGGTTTACAAGTAGACTCTGCATCACTTGAAGTCTTTAAACAAAGACTAGATGGCTGAAATGTATGGCTGTGGTTCAGTTAAACAAGAATTACACACAGCGCCAAATCAGAGATTTCTGTTATTCAAGAAGTCTATGGCTACCCATCATCAGAATGATTTTGCAAGAACAAACATACTAAATAGAAGAATCTCAAAGTATACAAATGGAAGTGATATAAGCACAAAAGGAAGAAAGAAAGGTCTGTCTTAAACCTGTTGGATATATCCAATACTGAAAACTGCTAAATGTCACAGACATTAATGTGGCCAGAAAAGACCAGGCTGTTCACATAAATCTTATTCAGATTTGCTGCTCTTGGGACAGTTTGCACAGAAGTGAAGCAAAATATGGCAAGGATCATGAATTACTCTTTTATCAGTTTTTTGACAAAAGTATGTATACATGCTGTTCCTCTCTTCTGCACTAAATCAAGATGTTTATTACTTCCCATAAGCAAGGTAAAAACAGTCAGTTGAATTAAATCCATTTTATATCTTCTGTGGATGTTTAAAAGAAATAGCTAGCAAAAGAAATCAGTGGTCTTTGTTCCCCTTATATCAGCACTTTCAGTTGAGTCCCTCCCCGGCTACTTTATCTGACAGAAGTCTAACAGATTTGAGCAATCCCAAACACACATAAAGTCTGGGCAATGAGTGGATTGAGAGCAGTCCTGAGGAAAAGGACTTAGTGGATGAAAAACTAAATATCAGCTGGAAATGTGTGCTTGCAGCCCAGAAGACCAAGTGTATCCTGGGCTGCATCAAAAGCAAGTCAAGGGAGATGATTCTCCCCCTCTACTCTGCTCTTGTGAGACCCCACCTCCAGTGCTGTGCCAACACAAGGAGGACATGGACCTGCTCGAGCAGGTCCAGAGGAGGCCACAAAGATGATCAGGGGGCTGAAGCACCTCCCCTGTGAGGCCAGGCTGAGACAGTTGGGGTTGTTCAGCCTGGAGAAGGCTCTGGGGAGACCTTATAGAGGCCTTCCAGTACTTAAAGGGGGTTACAGGAAAGGTGGGGAGGGACTCTATCAGGGCGTGTAGGGATAGGATGAGGGGTAACAGTTTTAAACAGAAGGAAAGGAGATTTAGATTAGATGTAAGGAAGGAATTCATTGCTGTGAGGGTGGTGAGACACTGGCACAGGGTGCCCAGAGCAGCTGTGGCTGCCCCCTCCCTGGCAGGGCTCAAGGCCAGGCTGGACGGGGCTTTGAGCAACCTGGTCTGGTGGAAGGTGTCCCTGCCCATGGCAGGGGGGCTGGAACTAGATGGTCTTTAAGGTCCCTTCCAAGCCAAACCATTCTGTGATTCTAAAATTAGCAAGCACAAGATAATGCATTCATAATATCATCCTGTTATCACTCAGACTCAAAAGAAGTTGCAAGCACAGAAGAAGCTTTCATAGGACAAGGAACCACCATCTTTTCCCTGATAAGCTGTAATGCAGGTGTTAAGCACCATTTATAAAATACAAAGCTTTACTTTTTCTCATGTGAATGAGTTTTGTTTAGGAAGGTTTCAAATCACCTTCAGATATCATGCAAAAATATGGAAGGGTCAAAGATTGTACAGCCACAACATGGTAACTGTGTTTGTCAAAACATACTTTCATTCTGTCTGTTACAAGTTAATTTGTTTATGCCCTTCTCTGCATTGTTTTAATCTGTGTCACGCTAAGGATAAAATAGAAAACATGGAATGTACTCCATTCTAGAATTGGCTGAAATCACATATTTGAAAATGTGCATACAGCACTGTATATCCAACAAGATAATTAATGCTCTTTCACATATGTTAAACAGTAACAATAATAAATCTAAAATACTTTTAAATGGAATATACTGCTTGGCTTCATTATGCTTTTTTCTGAGGGGGAAAAAAAAAAAGCCATCCAAATAAAAAACCCCATAAACCCAACCTTACTCTCTCCATAAAAATTATGATGTCTGAGTAAATTTAACTTTCTGGGGTTTTATTTTTTTAATGTATAAAGTAGTAGCAATGTGTTACTTCCATAATAATATTTTGTTACTGAAACCGAACAAAGCTGAAATCAAAGATAGGCCAAACTCAGCTTTATGATGAAAAATCTTTGTATGTCTATGTATTTAAAGGTAGCGTCCTTTCTAAAAGTAAGTGTATATTTTTTTATAGACTGACTTAAGAACTGCATGGTATGTTTACAAGAAAACCTGGTTAAGTAGTTTTCATAACTGAAAATATGCCAGTTACCAGAATACTGTTGCATCTTTCCATTGTAAGTGTATTCCACAAATAAAAACATTGCATAAGAGGTTCACACACATAACGCTGCGGGCGTTTCCATAGCTGGCTGACATGTTAAATGGCTTCTGATGTTCTAAGGCAGACTACTGATGAAAGTGAGTACAACTCTATCTGCTTGAGTGGAGTTACTTCAGATTGTTCAACAGTTCACTTTAACTATATTTGCATAAGAAGTGGCCCACATATTCAAGACAATTAAATGATCAAAAAGCTACACTGGATTTAATCAACAGTTTGGACTGCTATAGAAAAATTATATCCACCAAGCTTTTGAAAGTTAAATATAGTTACTAGCTGTTACTAATTTATGTTTATTTGGAGACGTATCAAAAACCAGAGTATGTTGTACTTACTCCTGCATGAATAGATTTTCAAGGTTCCTTCTTACTAAGGATATTTGGCATTTCAGGACTCCTTTGGAATAATCTATAGCAGTTTAACATGAGTCCTACTTAGTCAAATATCAGCAACTCTCTTCCGTGGACTGTCTCATTTATACACAAGTAGCTTGCACCAAAATATTAAAATAGCTACAGACCAAGATCAAATTAAAGTGACACACTCTTGGCAATACAAATCCTTGAAGTTCATGAGATGTTGACAATGGACCTCCTTGATGCAATTCTGGTTATTCACAGGAAAGCATACAAAGAAGTCATGTTGTACTGAACACAGCAGAAATCAACAAAAAGAAGCAGCATCATGGTTCACTATTCCAGTTCTCCACTCAGTACTACCTTTTACTGAGGGCTACTGATATTTTTTTGTCCCTCTCTAGGATATTGTTACCTTCTTCCCGTATTTCAGTTTTCTGCTTCTTTCCTTCCACTGACATGCAAAATTCCGTGAGCTGACACCCAGTGTCACTGCAGCAGCCTTCAGGCTTCAGGCATGCTACCTTAGTGTTCCACCACAGGCTTCAGTCTTTGAAGCAGACAGTGGCCATTATTATTTCACTTACCTATTCCTTTAAGGAATATTGTGCACTTGCTTATGCGTGACAGTTAGCCATCTCTCTCATACAATTTATTAGTAATATTTTACTTTTTTGGTGTTGGATGAGTTAGACTGGTACAAGCCTATGCTTTGCTTACTTTTGGACAAATAAGAAACTTCAGATATTCTAAAGCTCTTGATTCTTTTAACATGCTGTCTTCAAAATGTTTGCTACAATCCTAAAGAAAGCAGTGGTAGAAACAAATTACACCAAAAATACAGAAGTCCATCTATAAACTTTTGAAGATTTCACCTACTATATAAATATTTCACAGACCAACCAGGGCCTATGACTGCAACCTGAAGCATATGAATAACAGATCTCTAGAACTTGCATAATTGCATGATGTATTTGAAATATTAGGGCAATAAATGTAATTCCCTGATAAGGCTATGAGATAAGCAGAAAAGAACTTCCTACTTATTTTGAAATGACAGAATGAATGCACTTTCTTTTTTGGTGTATGGATATAATATGCAACAATAAAATCCAGTTTTTAAATGATTCACCTCATGTTTGTATCATATTCTAAGAAACAGGTGTGCAATTTAGTCACTTCAGTCAT